TTCCTATTAAGTGTTTCAAATGTCATGGTGTAGGCCACATGGCGAGAGATTGTAGCAATAAAAGGGTTATGATCTTGAGAGATGATGGTGGCTATGATAGTGTGCATGAAAGTGATAAAGATGATGCTGATAATGTTGATGATGATTCTACCTCCCATGAATCAAATGATGAGCTTGAATGCAATGGTATAGATGACTCTATCTTGGTGGCAAGAAGAGCTCTCAATATTCAACTAAAGGAGGATGATAGACATGAGCAACACAAGCATATTTTTCACAGTAGATGCTTTATCAAAGAGAGAGTGTGTAGCATGGTAATTGATGGTGGTAGTTGCACTAACGTCGCTAGCACTTTACTTGTAGATAAATTATCTTTACCTTTAATTCCACACCCTAAGCCCTACAAATTGCAATGGTTGAATGATTTTGCTGAAATTAGGGTTTCTAAGCAAGTGTTGATTACTTTCTCTGTTAGAGTTTATACTTGTGATGTATTATGTGATGTAGCCCCTATGCTTGCTGGACACTTTTTATTAGATAAGCCTTGGCAGTTTGATAGTAAGGCTACTCATGATGGTTTTAGAAATTATTCAAGGTACCTTTTAAAGACAAGACTGTTGTATTAAATCCTCTTAGGCCCATCCAAGCCTATGAAAATCAACTAAAGATTACTCAAGATTACAAGCAAAGGAGAGATCTCCTTGATTGTGGCATGAGTGAGAGAGAAAAGAAAGAGAGTATTACTTTATTTGAAGATCAATCAAAAGAGAGGAAAAAGAGTGGTGAGAAGGTGAGAAAAGGACAAAATAGAATGGTGGGAGTGAAGGAAAATAGTGAAAAGAAAATATTATTGTGTGGGAAAAGTAAGATTCAAGAGGCTTTGATGAGTAAGCAAGCTCTTATTGTAATTTTCAAGAATATTTATTTTTCTACTGACACTTTTGACCCCACTTTGCCTTCTAGTGTTGTCTCTTTATTGCAGGATTATGGAGATCTATTCCCTGATGAAAGTCCTGATGGACTTCCTCCCTTAAGAGGAATTGAGCATAGGATAGATTTCTTGCCTGGAGCTGCTATTCCAAACAAACTTGCTTATAGGGCTAACCCTGAAGAGACTAAGGAGATCCAGCGCCAAGTAGAGGAATTGATGATGAAAGGCTTTGTGCGTGAGAGCCTTAGCCCTTGTGCTATCTCTGTTATCTTGGTGCCAAAAAAAGACAGATCTTGGAGGATGTGTGTTGATTGTAGAGCAATCAACAAAATCACTGTAAAGTATCGTTACCCTATCCCTAGACTTGATGATATGCTTGATAAATTGCATGGTGCTTCTATCTTTTTTAAAATTGATCTTAGAAGTGGTTATTATCAAATTCGTATGAAAGAGGGTGATGAATGGAAAACTGCCTTTAAAACTAAATTTGGATTATATGAATGGTAAGTTATGCCTTTTGGTTTGACTAATGCTCCTAGCACTTTTATGGCATTAATGAATCATGTTTTTAGAAAGTTTATAGGCAAGTTTGTTGTGGTTTACTTTGATGATATTCTGATTTATAGTAAATCTTTGACTGATCATATGAATCATCTTAAAAATGTGTTTGACATCTTGAAGGAATATAAGCTATATGTTAATTTTCAAAAGTGTTTCTTTTGCATGGACTCTGTTATCTTTTTAGGATTTATTGTTGGATCACAGGGAATTTGTGTAGATGAGGAGAAAGTTAAGGCTATTCGTGAATGGTCAACCCCTAAGAATGCAAGTGAAGTAAGAAGCTTCCATGGCTTAGCAAGCTTCTATAGGAGATTTGTTAGGGATTTCTCTAGCATTGTTGCCCCTCTTAATGAACTTGTTAAGAAGAATGCGACCTTTAAATGGGGTGAAACACAAGAAAGGGCTTTCCAAACCCTAACGGATAAATTGACTAAGGCCCCTTTACTTGTTTTGCCTAATTTCTCTAAAGCATTTGAAATTCAATGTGATGCTTCTGGTATTGGTATAGGTGCTGTTTTAATGCAGGATTCTAAACCCATAGCTTACTTCAGTGAAAAGCTTCACGGCGTAGCTTTGAATTATTCCACCTATGACAAAGAGCTTTATGCTCTAAAGAGGGCCTTAGAAACATGGCAACATTATTTGTGGCCCAAGGAATTCATCATTCATTCTGATCATGAAAGTTTAAAGTTTCTCAAGTCTCAAGGTAAGTTAAACAAGAGACATGCTCGCTGGATGAAATTTATTAAAACCTTTCTTTATGTGATTAAACATAAGCAAGGTAAAGAAAATATCGTTGCTGATGCCTTATCTCGAAGGTATACATTACTTTCCTATTTGCATGCTCAATTACTTGGTTTTAAGATTCTAAAAGATCTTTATAAAACTGATCCTGATTTTGAAAATATTTAGAAATCTTGTGAAAATCATGGATCTGGTGATTTCTTTAGATTTGATGGATTTCTTTTTAAGAAAAATAAATTATGCATTCCTATTTGTTCTATGCGTGAGTTGCTTATTAAGGAAGCATATAGTGGTGGTTTGATGGGACACTTTGGTGTAGAGAAAACTTTGGTTATTTTGTCTGATCATTTCTTTTGGCCTCACATATGGAAAGATGTCATATTTGTTTGTGATAAATGCATTAAATGTAGATAGGTAAAATTAAGGTCCAACCTCATGGACTTTACTCTCCTTTACCCATCCCCTCTCACCCTTGGGAACATATCTCTATGAATTTTGTAATTAGATTGCCTAAATCTTCTGCAGGCAAAGATTCCATATTCGTTGTTGTCGATAGGTTCTCTAAGATGGCACACTTTATTGCTTGTGCTAAAACTAATGATGCTGTTAACATTGCTGACTTATTCTTTAAAGAGATTGTTCGTTTGCATGGTTTACCTAAGACTATTGTGAGTGATAGAGATGTGAAGTTTCTTACTCATTTCTGGCATACCCTATGGCATAAATTAGGGACTAAGTTACTTTTTTTCACTACTGCCCATCCACAAACTGATGGTCAAACTGAGGTAATTAACAGAACTATGACTACACTATTAAGAGCAATAATTCAGAAGAATTTGAAGAATTGGGTGAATTATTTACCTTATATTGAATTTGCTTACAACAGGACTGTTCATTCTTCTACTTCTTATTCTCCATTTGAAATTGTTTATAGTTTCAATTCATTATCTCCTATTGATATTTTACCTTCGCCTTTCTCTAAGCATGCTAACACTGATAGCAAGAAAAAAGTTAAGTTTATACAGGATTTACATGCTAAGGTTAAAGCAAACATTGAGCGAAAGAATGAGCAATATGCCAAGCAAGCTAATAAAGGCAGGAGACGTGTGATCTTTGAGCCTGGAGATTGGGTTTGGTTACATTTAAGAAAAGAGAGATTTCCTAATCAAAGAAAGTCCAAACTTCAAGCTCGAGAAGATAGACCTTTCCAAGTTTTGGAAAGAATCAATGATAATGCTTACAAGATTGATTTGCCTAGCTCTTATGGCAATGTTAGTGCCACATTTAATGTTTCTAATTTATCTTTATATGATTCTGCAGATTCGAAGACGAATCCTTTCCAACTGGGAGGGAATGATGGACCCCATGGCATGGGTGACATAGCATTAATGGCAACGAAACTTGAGGATGGTAATCATGAGTATGGTGACATAGAAGGAGCCCAATACTTTCAATCCAATGTACTTAAAGACCCATTATAACATATTGGAGGTCCAATAACAAGAGCCCGAACTAAAACCATGAAGCAAGCCTTGTTTAGTCTTGTGCAAGAAGTTCAAGAGCTTGAAGAGCATTGGGGCACTCCTCTCAAGCCCAAAGGGGAGCATCTATACGTGTATAATGTATTTAAGATCCAAACTCATGAAAAGTCAAGCCCAAGAGATGCAAACCTTAGCCCAATGCAAGGAAGACTACAAGTTGAGCCTCTTGCAAGCAAGGAGGCATGAAACCCTAGTGAAGAAGTCAAGGGTGGCGTGATTTTAAATCTTTTATAATCCCTTGATTGTCTCCTAAATTATTTCCTATTTTAATGGTATTTTGATTTGATTTTCTATTTTGAATCTAGTCAAAGGTTAGGATTAATTATAGTATTAATTTCTAAATTTTGTAATCCCATAATTTTAGGATCATATCTCCTAAATTATGTGGCTGAATATTTTATCATTATTTTATATTATTTCTCCTTTTAGTATTAGGAAATTAGGGTTTTAATTTTAGGAAATATTTTTTTCTATGAGCCTATATAAATTAGGCATGCTCCCTTTTGTAAACGACACAAAAGTTGAATGAAATTATTCATTTTAGAGTTTATAACTCTTGTGAGCCTTAGTGCTTTATGATGGCATCCCGTGTGAGAAATAGACGTGATCAAGAGCGTGATCAACTCTTGTGATGTCTTCGAAAGTTGAGGTTCCTAGAGGTAGGTGCTCTAGAGGATCTTCGCTTTGATCATTATCCTATTGTTTACTTCATACTTTTTTTTATTTCCATCATAAATTTCGTCCCTTTCCTTTTGTTCTTGTGTTTTTGTTATTTTAAAGTTCTATCCCTAAACTAGCACGATTCTGCTTCCACATCCCCTATCATGAAGTCTATAATTTCTTTGAATTTAAAAGGAGAACATCGAGTGTTAAAAGGTGTTCAATATTTTTTTAGTGTTCTCTTTGTTCAAGGGCGTTATGTTTATAAGGATCCCTCTCCTCTCCTCTCATCTTTTTTTCAAATTTTAACTGATGCGTTAATTGAGTCAACCAATTTCTTGTGCTATCCTTTATTCTTCTCTAAGAATTCCTTCATGAACTCATGCTATCTTCAAAGATGGGACCTTTTTTGGTTTTTTCTCCTCAACATTTTATACACCTGTATAGATTAGTAATGTTCACAAATATATAAGTGAAAGTTTGAACATTCACAAGTACAAGCTAAGATATTTACAAGTAAAAATTTATATATCTTGATAAGCAAAGATTCAGAGTTAATGCAATTGTTGGCAAATTTTGCAAATTTACAGCTAAAAGCTTGAATATTCACAAGATATGTTTAAGTCAAAGTTCATAATTTACCACTTAAGATATTCATAAGTCAAACTCTCTTTATCTAATGCTGTGCTGGAAAAAAAAAAATCTATTTTACTGTTTTATTGAGAAAAAGTTTCAGAAAAAATTGAGAATATCCAATTCACCCCTCTACTTGGTGTCAGTTTATCTCACAATCGCGTTGCGATTTTGCTAAAGCCATTTTTGGTTGCTCAAGTAAGGAGGTGCTGGAGGTGCGCCATTGGGTGAATCGAAACTGGTGTAAGTTATTGGCAGCATGGTGAAACCCTCTTTTCATTGTTGTATATCGGAAAGGAGTCCTCGATTAACTTAAACGTACTTTGTTCAACAAGAAACCTGCATTGTTATTTTCCCCTATTGATGGAAACCATTTAGCCAAAATCATGGGGGAGGGGTTCATAGGCCTTGGCTTTAAGTCAAAAAGCTTCCATAAACTAACCAATATTGTGAAGTTCCTCAAAATCAAACAAAGAAGCTCTAAAATCTAAACATAGCTTTCCTTACTTCTTAATATTCTTTCATGACCTTTGTGATAATGCTATAAGAAAACAATTTCTGACATAGCAAACACATACTTTTATTTATAAATTAATAATCCATTTAAAAATCCGCCCTTGAGAAAATTTAAGTTAGGTGCTCTCTGACTATAAAATTATGATTCCCTGGAGCATCTGTCCGAGGAATAAAAGAAGAGCGACTCAGTGAGCAAAGCAAATAGGACTGTGTTTGTGAATGAGCAAAACTGAAAGTTTAGAGGACTCTAATAATTTCTCCTTTTTTTTTTTCCGGTTTAAAATCAAGCAACTGCTTTGTTTGCTTATTTATCAACAAATACATTCATTGATATATATATATATATATATATTAATAACAGTAAAAAAGTTACTGTACCTTGTCAACATCAGTATGTTAATTCTCAACAGCTTATGTACTTCTTCACAGCATCCCTCATGTCATCAAAACCTTAAGAGACCTCAAAGAACTTGATCAACTTCCAGAGCTCTTGATCACCAAGATCATCGATAAACGGCTGAATTTGAATCGCGTTATCAGGTTGCAATGCATATGAATTTGGGTTATCATCAACAATAACGACACGTTTCAGATCCCTGCCCATAGCAGATAAGTCCTTCACGAGCTTCCCATATACTTCCCTGCACGAATCACGGTACAGCCGGTGAGAAATCCGTCGTTCCGAGTCGACCCGATCTAGAACCATCGACGCATAAACTTCCAACGCCGCTGTGAAAACCACCACTTCATACTTTGCCGCCAGCGATTCTAACAAGTCATCCACTCCTGGCCGCTTCAAAACATAGAAATTCGTACTCTCACCGTCGATTCGCGGCCGCACGACAAAGTCAAATCGTTCTGGTGGCGGGTCGACCCTGGAATGGACGAGAGTTTCGTCCAGGTCGAGAAAAACGGTTTTTCTATGAGGGTAAATCAACGGAGGTAACAAGGAGAGATCAGGAAAGAGATTTATGCCTGCGGAGTTGAAGGATTGCTCATAGACTTGTTCTTCTTTCCAATGGGGTTTCTTTTTCAGGATGTGATAGCCTTTCCGCCGACGATTAGGAGTAGCGATTTGCGCCAATTTGGAGAAGAGTTTGGTGATGCGGCGGTGGATGGAGGAGAGGACAGCGGAGGAGATAGCCACGGCATGTTTGATCGGAGATTTTTGCCTCCTACGAGGTTTGATGGATTTTGTCGGAATTCTTTTGATCTTTGATACCATTGAGAAGATTTTGAAGTGCTGAGATGGGGAGAAAAGAGACCGTTAAGGAAGACAGGAAAGGAGAAATAGATAATTAAAAAAGAGAACTCCAAAAATCCTGGTTACTGCTTAGGCAGAGCGCATGGTTGGAAACAGAGCAATTTAAATCCTGGTTTGGTGTAACGGTCACGCGTAGCTTCGGGACCGAGGCTAGATTCTTGGCTTGCATGGTTAAGAAAATTTCAATAAGACTCATTGATTTTAGATAATTAAAAAGAGAACTTCAAAAATTCTGGACCCTCATTGTAATTTTAGGACTCTGAGTTGAAATTAAATTTGAGAGTAAAATGACAAAATTAACCTTACTTCAATTGTTAATTCATTTCCCAAGAAAATATTGTTAATTATCCTATTTTAATTATTTAATATATTATTTTCACTTGATTTCATTTCATGTATTGCTTTTATTCTAACTTAATTTATTCATTTTCCTACTATGACTTATTTATTTCTTTATAAAATGTTACTGCCCTATTTTCATAGGGGGATGAACAAATTATAGCAGGGTAATTAACAAATTAAAATAGGATTAATTTTATCATTTTATTTTCAATTTTAATTTCAATTGAGAGCCCTGGAACCGCAATGAAGATTCATAATTTTTGGCAAATGAAATGAGGAAAATTGGATTTAAGGACCAAGATACAGCTTTATATTTACCGTAAAGGGTGGTTAAAATAATATCATTGTAATTTATAATAAACGACCAAAAAATGTTAATATTTTAGCCTCTATCATTTTACCTTCATAATTTGTATTGCCTCTTGTTTTCTAGACTCTAATTCAACAATTCTACTTCATTATTGTCTTCATTTTATCTAGGGTTATACAAAGTATTGTTGTCTTTCAACTACTTAGTCATTCAAAAATATTTTTTATATTTACACAAATTTAAACTCTAACCTTTAATTTATTATAATTTTTTTTGATAAAATGACAAATAATTTAAATACAGTTAAAAAAGGAAAAAGAAATATAAAGCAAGAAACTAAAGAAGCCCCCAATATTAAATGGTCATATTGTTTATACTATAATCAACGCTTATTATTGATCTTCTCTCGTGGATTCTAATCTTTGGAAACCATTGAACAGCAAGTGTACTTGAGCCCATTTTTTGGAATTAATTAGCAATCACTTTAATGCTTTTTTGGATGAGCATAGGGTATTGCTTCATGGAAATGTTGAAGAATATTCAGGCATTATCCATATAGTAGTTGATTTAATTCATCAAAATTCTCAAGAGTGGAATTAATATGGGAAAAATATAGCTTCTGTATCCTCCAGGAGTGGCCTCAACCACTATGGCTACTACTACCATTTCACTCATCAATTGTGAAGATAAGATAATTTGGACTTAACATATGGTGTAGTGGCTATCTCACTTCGTCCCTTAAGCATGTGGTGGGGGGTTCGATTCCTCACTCATGTGAATGGAGAGCACTCTATAGCCAGCCGTTTGTCCTTTTGTGGAAGACCCCACGATGAAAGAATTAGTCATTGCTACCGACGGTGGATACCTTAGGCAACTAAAAAAAAAATGGACTTAGCATCCTAGTAGATCAATTCTCGCTCAAAACTCACTTTCAAAGGAGTGCAACAAGGTGAAAACATGCGTTTGCTAATTAAGTCCATTTGAATACCTTATTCAATCCTTTTTATAAAGTCCTATCAACTACTATTTTAATAAAGTTAAAGAAATTCGTTAAAACTTAAAATTAGTTAAATGGTGATTATTATTTTTTAACTTTCCAAACTTAAATTTGAATTGATATCATTCATTTGAAGGGAGAGGGATGGGAAGGCCAAGAGTTGCACCAAAAAAGGATTATATCATTACCTAACAGACTAGCTTGTTAAATGGGAGAATCCCTTTCACTTATAAATCTCACATTACTTGTAAGGCTTCTCAATATAGGACTCATGATAATGCTATCTCATTGATAGCCAACATTCCTAGCGGCTCTACTTTAGGCACTTCACTTGAGCTCCTACCAGTTAGAGCTTTTTGTAAGTAGCCATTTCCGTGACACTGGCCTTTTAATAAAAATACCAATGTCATGAGCACAAATTTAAAAAGGAGAATCCATCCTAAAAGAATAGCATGGTAAGAGTGTCCCCCAAACTTATAATTTTAGTGACTCTCGCTCTATGATACTTTACTCGACTACGGCCCATCAAAATCTAGACCACAAGCTCAAAAGGAATAGCACCATCACCCAACAAACTAGCATGTTGAGTGGGAGAAATTCTCACACTTATAAATCTCACATTACTTGTGATACTCCTTGATTTGAAACTTGTGACAGAAAACAACACATTAAATCATTTAAACTATACTATTATTACTTAAATTTGCATCTTTTGAATTGACCAACCCTGTGCAATGCACATGATTATGACTAGTTATTATGATAATACAAAATTGAGAATAAAATTTTGAGTTAAAATAAAGTATCAAGCCCACTTATAACATCATCTTCTAGCTCTCGGCCCAATGGGCCCAAATATACTCTTCCTTCTCAAATGTTTTTTTATTTATTATCAAACTCTCAAATAGTTAATGCAAATCATTCGAAGGAGGTTTGGCCCAAAAAACAAAAAAAAAAACATTCGAAGGAGAACCCTTTTGACTTGAGAACCCAGTCATTGCTACTAACTTAGCTATATATATATATATATATATTGTCCATGTTTCTAGTGACAGAGATGCTTTTGTTTTTGTCCTTTATTTTAATCATCTTCCATGTATCAAGTTTTAATGAGACTTGATCTTTTTACCCAAAGAAAAAACAAAGAATCTTAAGAGCGTTCCTTCTTCAAAATCGACGGCGAATTGGCCAGTTTTAGAGTATACGTGGGCATTTAGTTTTCACTTTTCATCCACAAATACAATACAACAATTGGCGAAAGAGCTATTCATCACGGCTCTTTTGAGAAGACACTCGTTGGTAGAAAATGGTAGGACCAAAAAAAAAATGAAGAATATATTTTAAAAACATAAAATGAATTTAAGATTGTCGTTTTTCACAAGTTGGTTGGTGGGAAATGAACATTGAACACCGATCTAAACTTAACAAGTATTACAAATCCAACCATTTAATGAATGTTTCATGTTAACACAATATCACTTGTCAATTTGGTTAAATAATTGTCAGAAATTTTATTATGTAATATTTAAAAAACCTCAATTTTTATCTTTTAGATCATATCGCAAATCAGATTAATCGTTATTCTGAATTTTTAAAGGGAACAGTATACATAAATAATATTTTAATCATAAGAAAAATTGTTTCTTAATATTATTTAAACATTGATGAAATTTAATAACTACTTTTAAGGAAGAATCTGATTCCACACATAGGGCTAAGCATTGGTTAGTTAGATTCAATTCAGTGTCAAAATATGTAAAATTTATCGACTGAATAATGTTAAAAATATAAATTGAATAAAGTAATCAAATTGAACTAAAATTTGATAGTTTGATTCAGTTAGTTAATTTAATTTTGGACTTCATATTGAATTGCATGAATTTGGGCCAATTTTATTATTTTTTTAACTAAAATAGACCAAGCTTATATATAAAATTAGACTTATAAAATGATAGTAGCTCATTTTTAATAAGGGGTTAGGCTGTATAAAATTATATATTTACTTTTATTTAAATATAAAATTTAAAAGAATAAAATAAAATAAAGCAATTAATAAATTAAATATAATTTATAAATTAATACTTATATAGATATATATATATATATATATGATCATTCAATTAGTTCATTATATTTGATATTAAATCTTACTAATCAAATCGAATTAATCAACAAAAATATTTAAAAAAAAACTAAATCATATTAAAAAACCAAATAAACTAAATTAAATAATAAAAAATTCAATTTAATTTGATTTGATTCACAGTTTCAGTTCGTTTCTACTCACCCATGTCCACGCATTTCACTCTTAAACAACGACTTGGGTGATGCGCAAATTGGCCAAGTTCGGTTGTGCCAAACATTATTTTTATTTGATTTATAAGATACAAAAATAAGATAACAAATAATTTTGAATATCAAAATTACAATTACATTTATAACCATAAAATTAAACAAAGAGAACTTAAACAATGCTTAGTATGCAGAAAAATATTTTTCAAAAATAAAATAATAAATCCACCTTTAAAAGAAATGAGATACTCCATCCATTAAAAAAATGTAAAGCATTTTCAATCGAATTTCACCTCTCGATAAAATAATTACTTACTTTTAAACTAACTTTATCTTTTCATATTTACTCTTATTAAATACCCTATAATAAATATAGAGTTACTATCAATAAGAATACTTTTAAAAAAAGGCAATGATTACACCTCGAAAGATTAAAATATCTTATATTTTTAAACATTCAACTTCTTAAAAAATACCTTACATTTTTTAATGGAGAGAATATATATTTCAATTTATTTTTTTTAAAATATTTTTCACATGCCAAATATTATATGAAATATCAAATTGATACAAAAAATTTAAGATTTTTTTTAAATAAAAAAAATAGGACAAATGATCAGCCTTACTTAGAGTGGGCATACTATCATCATGTGATCATGGTTAGGCAAGGACAAGGCATATGTATCTGTCAGATCATAGCCAAATTAAAAATGAAAAAAAAAAAATCTTGCAATTTGAACGTGTAAACAATAATTGCACATAGTTACTGTCAATCTTAAGACCATAAAATAGAGTATCAGATTCGGGGGATTTTAAAATAATATTGTATTGTCTGGACAAAAGAATATCTCAAGTAAATTTATACCAAGATTGCGCATGAGTGGACTTGATTTTAACATTAATATCCGGTTTGATGCCCAACTTGAGTTAAATATATATTGATTGGGCTTTTGGACGCATACGAGAAAATTAATTTCATTCAGACTTTGCACAGTCTACACATTATAGACAATTTAAGGAATGAATCATATTATTTATAATAATT